CTTAATAATGTATGTTATATGATCTTTTGCAGTTGGTTGTAAATTGAGTCTTTCTAATTCTCTTTTGAATCTGTGAGAGTTTACTGCAGTTATGCAATTACTTTATTTGCATAAGTTGATAGAAGAGAAAATTAGGGTAATTAAAATGATTTTTCCTACAAATTCGATATGAGTTAAGCTTTCAGATCATTGATTTTCTAAGATGCCAAAAGTTGTTTGTTTTTGCTTAAATCTTCTCCAATAATACTCAAAGAAACTACTTAGTCATTAAATGATTGATAATTTTACTAGGCTTATTTTATAAGTTAGTCCACAAGTTAATAATAATTATCTTCTGTTTCATTTTGTCCATTAACTTGAATAGTTAAAGTGCTATTAGAAATTCCAAGTTAAGAGTCCATTACTTGGCTCATTATCACTAAGCTTCCTTAAGGTAGAGTAGTGTTCATCACATAGCTAGTTGTTTAATCTTTTATTAATCTTCTTGAAATATTCCAAGGGGAATCTAGTTCTAGTTCGTAATCAGCTTGGTTATTATAGTAAAAGAACTAGTAAGTTAAAGGAGAGTCTTCATCAACACAATTTGAGAACTTGATAGAAAAAATTGTTTAGAGTGCTACTCCTTGGTTTGGACTTATAGAAAGAATGCAATTTTTAGGAGGAATGTTAATTAAAAGGGTAATTGTTGCTAAACTTGGCATGACATAAGATGGATTGTAAACTGAAAAACGTACTTAAACTGTTGGAATGGAAGGATCTATATTTTAAAAATAGCTCCATATTCTAAATTTTACCTAGTAGTAATCAAATTTTATGGCTCCAACTATTTTATTTTTATACAACAAAGCTCCAGCATATGATAAAATATCCGAAGAAATATTGGAACCGTATTGAATAACAAAGTTAAGATCTTAATTTAAATTTATTTTCTGATTTTATTGCTGTGGGGGTTATAAAACAATTAATGGAGGAATATCTAATTCTGTAAAAATACAAGTGGCTGTAAAATTAGCTGACCTTTTTTCTTTTTATCCTTCTATTGTTAAAACTATGATGCTATAGGGCTGGAAGTTTCTTTCAGGGAAAGAGATTGAGCTTATCCCTTGATTTATTTAAACTATTTGATGATTGTAGTCATAGCAAATGCGATCTTCACTTGATAAACTCTTGCACTACCAGGTAAAAGTAACACCTAAAAGGGAAGTTTGATCTTGAACTTCATAATCTCTAAATTCTGATACCAAATCAAATTATTTTTGATAACTAACAATAAAATTAGATCCTCCAACTATAGACAAATATAAATTCGAAATGAGTACATCAATGGATATATTTTTTATAGAACTGATCCTGTTAACAGATGTAAGATTTA